GGGAAGCTGTATCTTCAGCGCTTCCTTTTAGACTTCTTTTTAACAAGTGCGAGAGATGATCTTTATATCCTGAAAGTGGTGAGCACATTGTCACTTTTACAGTTCCCCACATGACTCCCTTGAGGATTACAGCTGTTTGAATTTGCAGAGTCAGACTTGTGACCCAACTAGGCATCCTTTGCATACCCCAAATCCTTCTGACTTCCACTGGAGTAACAGTGGGTACAGGAATTAGTTCTTCAAAAATGGGTATTTATGTGATCCTTATATATTGAGATCTTTTTGGCCTGGATATTGTTTAATTCTCTTCTAAATTGTTCTGAGGACATAAAATGTTTGATTTGACCAATGTGCAAAGTGAACTCATGTTTCTTATCACAGGCTGAACTGGTTGTTACAGTTAATCCTGAAATACAGTGTCATGTTTTGGGTTTCATTAACTAAAGAAAATATTTTTAATCTAACTTTGAGATGATGATTTTTTTTCTAAGCTGCTCTGAGCCCATTTCACTTGCCGTTTTGTTTGCATTAAATTCTACATCACTACATTCAAAGTGGAAATAGGAAAGCTGAGAATGGGAAATGTGTACTGGAAGTATCTCACTATGAAAACAATGAGAAAATAGTTTCTATGTTAATTTCTAGAGATTATATTTAAGCAATCTTTGCCATGCAAAATAGCTTTGTGTTTCGGAAGTGCCAGACCACAACAGTAAGCTTGGTTGACGCACTGTCACATCAAATTCAACACACAGTAAACAGGCAACAGCAGTGAAGCAGATGAGGAAATAGTTTTGCTAGCAAGAAATCTCAGTTTCACTCCTCTCATTTCCACAATTGGAAAGCAGAGACAGTATTTGAGTAATATTGCAATATAGATTGTAAACAGCTTGGGAGTAGGTGGCATAAATTCACCTCTGAGTAACGTATTGTAACCTAAGGGTAAAACAGAAGGTATGTGTGTCTTGGATGAGCCTGGCTTTCCTTTCATTACTGCTAAAGTAATTAAGTATTTCCATCACTAGTGGAACTGTATAAAATTAGAAAAGTATGCAAAAAGCCCCCACAGCATACAGTGCTCCTGCTCGAAGGGAGATGCCGCCTATTGAATAACTGCAAGACACAAAGATCAATGGCGACTGTTACAGCATTGAAAATCATCGAGTGTGAGCCATTCACGACAACCATTTTCTGTAGTATTTGCTTTAAAAATACAGTTGGTGTTGGGATTGGTTGGAAATGTCCCTAGGACAGACAAAGAAGCGGAAGCGTAAGGCATAACACCAGTAAGGAACAGCTAGTGCAACAGTCCCATGGCACTAATGCTGGGGAAAATGGGAGGAGGGTTCCAGCTCGGAAAGACTTCGATCTGTTGTCTTTGTCTGAGCCAAAAGACAATTTTGTGTCCATAGTCACCTCACTTCTTTCCCCCCCACATTTCCTTTTGCTTGTGCCAGTAATAAACCTTGTGTTACTGTAAAACTTTTTTTAGAAGTTTGTAAATATGTAAAATGAAAATATGGAAAAATTGTGTACCAAAATGGTATAAAAATGTGTAAGATAAATGCTCTGTTTAATCAGAAGCTGTAATTAAATGCTGCTTTGAGAAAGTGTGCATGAGGACATGTTAAATATTCTATGTATCTAGGAGTTGTGTTAATGACAGCAAATTATCCATGTATGTCAGAAAATTTCATGCTAATATGAACATGAAGGAAAAACTATTATTTTACTTCAAGCAAAAGCTGGGTAGTGAGTTTCTTGGAAGACTTCATGTGCATAATCATTGTTAAATATGTTCATAATAAAGTTTTATATCTTTATATTGTATCTTGGGTTTATTTTCCTTCTAGTGAATGACTAACTACCGTTTTCATAACTTACATGTATTTTCAATTTACGTGTATTTTTTTATTCATATTTGAACCTGGTTAATTGCATAAGGATGGGACCCAGGAGGCTATGTCAGCCCAGATTAACTGGGGAATTATGTTTTGAGTTAGTTTGGGGTTTTTTTGTTTTTTTTCATTACCCTGCCTGGGCTTGAAGGTGGAAGGACAGGTTGCTAATTTTCTTAAGAAATACGCTAGCCAGTTTACAAAGGGGAACTGGCATTTGCAAACTACCTAAGA